TGGCATAGTTAACTAGTACAAAGACAAGTCAGTGGCAAAAGAATTTACTCAAACCTATAGGATTGAACTATGAAGAAACTTTTGCCCCTGCTGCTAAGATGAACACCATTGAAGTTGTGTTGTCTCTCATTATTAATGACTCTTGGTCTCTCCATCAACTAGATGTAAGATAACATTTTATTACATGATGAGTTGAAGGAAAAGGTATAAACGGTGGCACCTCCAGGTTTTGGGTTCCTAGGTTAGGAGGGGAAGTTTACAAACTTAGAAATGTAATCTAAGGGCTCAAACAATCACCTAGGGCCCAGTCTAAATGATTTGTTCAGTCAACTCAGATGTTAGGGTTCATTTATCCTTATTTCATATTTCGATAATGGTAGTTGCTAACTTGCTATAGATAAACGTTTAAACTTTAGATAAGATACAAGATCTAAAAAATTTCTAGCCATAGAATTTGAGAAAAAGGACCTGTAGAGGAGATGGGCCGAATGGCCCATAGACTGTCATTTCATGTTATGTTATGTTATGTTTCTCTTTGTTATGAGCCTTATTCTGGGCCCATACTCTGTAATGTTCTGTTTTTTGTATTTTTCTGCCCACTCAAGGGCCTCTCTGTAATTTATCAAAGATTAACACCTTAATAAAATGTTTAGAGTGTTAGAGTGAGGTTAAGTTCGAAACTCTCACTCTCTAACACTCATTGCCGCCAACTCTCTCTCTTCTCTTNTAAAGTAGAGACTCGTACCACTGAGCCCAAACAAGTTTCGACCACTTGGCAGTCCAATAAGATAAGAAAATAACCCAGAAATCTCTAAGTAAAAAGCAGTCCAGCAACAGCTGAACAATAGAGCAAATATAGAGGAGTTTCGAGTACTTTAATAGCTCCCCAAATCAGAAAAATAACCCAGCAATAACTGAAGCAACTTACAGTCGTATGAATCTCTGATTTGAGCTTCAAATCAAGCCGAACAATCTATCTCTCTGATTCTTCCTGGTCACCGAACTAATCTCCAAGCAAATAGTCTTGGGCACCCTTCAATGACCTCCAAGGGTCAGGCAAGTGAGTCTAAACCTCCAGCCCTAAAACACCCTCATGCAGTCTGCTGGACTACAACCACATGAGAGCCACGCCAAGCTCAGCCCCGCTCTGATACCAAGTTGAAAAACAGTCCTAGAAGTGTGGGACTATGCTAGAAAACCAGAAAACTAACAAGATTAGAGAAGAAGAGAGAGAGAGAGAGAGAGAGAGAGCTGCGGCAAGGAGAGTTAGAGGATGAGGAGTTCGAACTTAACCTCCCTCTAACACTCTAATACTCTTTTATTAAGTTAATCTTTGAGTAATTACAAGAGAGATCCATAGTTGGACAAGAAATTACAAAAAAGAAACATAGAAGAGTATGGGCCCAGAATAAGGCCCATTATAGAGAAGAACATAAAGATAATATACAGTAACAGCCTATGAGCCATTCGGCCCATCTTCTCTACAGTGTCGTAGAAAATAAATCTAAGTGTATCTGGCACAATCATCTATAAACAATACAAAGTATTTGTATCCCAATCATGAAGTAATAGAAGCAAACCAAACATCATTGCGTATTATCTCAAAAGGTTTAGTGGCATGCTTAGAAGTGTGAAAAAAAGGTAAAACATGACATTTACTCAAACAACAAGCAGTGCAAGAAACATCAAAAGTATGAACATGAGGAATTTTATTCTTAATTAAACCATAATCAAACAAAAACTTCAATTTTTGAGAATATGGATGACCCAATCGTTTATGCCATAAATCCCAAACATTATTTCTATAACTCAACAGAGAATCAAACATAGAGGAACTAAGATAAGCCGAGGATGCTCCTGATTGAGACTTCTCGAACTCCAATGCAAATAGACGGCCTAGCCTACGCCCCTTCCCTTTCACCTTCCCAGTGTACCGGTCCTATATAAAGCAACCATCATGAGAAAAGGTGAGAAAATTTCCTTCATCAACAAGTTGACCAAAAGAAATCAGATTAGTAGTAAGGTTGGGTACTAAGAGGGTTTTTGAGAGAGGGAAGGACATAGTGGATGACAGTTTAAGGGATAAGTCATTACTACCAATAATGTCTAACTTTTCACCATTGGCAGTAACAATGTGTTTATGGTGAGTCTCAGTAGACAGATTTGGTTGGTTGAGATAGGCTCCTGTCATATGATTGGTGGCACCTGAATCTATAATCCAAGCATGTGAAGGAGAAGAACAATATCTAGAGAACTTACCAAACAAGCCAATAGCAAAAAAAGCAAAGGATACCACTTGCCAAATCTTTTCTTCATCCATAGATCTAGTGGAATCACTTTTCACTAAAGAATCACCCTTAGTGGACATAGTGTCAGTTGCATGTTCATCTATTACCTGATAGGCCCGAGGTTGAGTCTTTTTTTGAGAACCCTTAGTTGGTCAGATTGGACAATCTGGAATAATGTGACCATGTTGCTTGCAATAGGTGCACACATTCTTCTTCTTACAGTGAGAAGCAATATGTCCAAAACCCTTACACTCATAACATTGGGTTTTGGAGAAGTCTTTGGAGGTTGACTTCTTACCTCCATGAGCAACAAAAGTTATTTCAGTCATCTTTCCATCAAATCCAGCTATAGTGAGAAGCCTAGTCTCTTATTGGTAACTCCCTAAAATAGAATCCAGATCTGGAAGTGTTCCCCTACTCAGAATATTGAACCTGATTATCTCATATTCAGGTCTAAGCCTTATAAAAAACTGAGTTACCTTCCTCTTCTCAAAATGTTTCTAGAGATATTTCACACATTCTGCTGAGTCCGAGGGATCAATATGGATGAGTTTGTATTCAGCCCACAAATCAAGAAAACCCGAATAGTATTCTTGTATCCTTCTATCTACTTGACTGTAGGCAAATATCTCTGATTCTATTTGATACTGTCTAGATATATTGGACTGTTGATAAACTTTCTCCAGATATAAATACATTTCATAGGTTGTTTTCATTCTTCTCATTGGTACAAAAATATGATAATCAATAGAACTAAGAATCTAGTGGGTTAGCAGATCAGCAAATGTAATGGCCGATTCTTTGGTCAAGCAAGGGGTGTCAAGGGGTGATCTGTTTTGGGCTACTTTGTAATTTGTATCTAAGGTTTGGGCATGTTTAGTGTTTATGATTCAGTCCTTGGGGGAGGTAACATCTCTTGCCTCTTCCTAGGCTGCTTGTATTTCTAATATTTATTTCAATAAAATTCTCTCATTTATCAGAAAAAAATAGAACTAAGAATCTACGAAACAATCTTGCCATTATCTAGTTTCCATTGTTGTAAGGCTTTGAGCTCAGTCTCAATTGGTTTAGTGACAGTCCCATTCAGGTGTCCTTCCAAACCTTTCCCTTCAACATAAAAATCAAAGTGGAATTTCCACATCCCATAATTTTGTCCATTCAGCTTCACAGAAATAATATCCCCTCTGTTTGAAGCCATTACAACAAAAAGAAGGGTTCGGCAATATCTGCCCAAGAGGAGGAAAGGACGAACCAGTACTACAGTAATCCAGAAAATTCTAGAGAAGGGTTCAAACAACTTCAGCAAACAAAAAAATGTTGACAGTCCAAAAAAGGTAAGTTTCAGGACTGTCGAACCAAAGGAAGGACCAAAAACCCTTCAAAAAGGAGATGGAAAAGAGATCCAAGTGACTGGAGGGCAAGAGGGGCCTAGGGTGACACCATATCTAGAGTTATAGGCTGATTGGATCAGCCGAAAGAGAGAAAAGTGTGAATAACCAACCTGTCAGGCATCTTTTTCAGAAAAAAGAGGGTTTTTGTGCTGATCGAAACAGCCCTCAAGTAGATCCAGATCAGAATCCAGTACTAGTGGAAGCCTTGAAGAACACTCTTTAATCTTGTGTAAAAACCAAAACTCTCAGGCTGATACAGATGACCTGCTCTGATACCATGTGAGCAGAACTGAGAACAAGAGAGAGCAGATTCAGGGGTGTCAAGAATGGTCGACCCCCACCCTAAAGAGCCCCTTTTATATTAAAAGATATATACAGTTACAAGAATGCCCTTATAGGGCTGAAAGATAAAAAGAACAAATAAAATAATAAGAGTAATGTACAACAAGAGCTATTATAATGTACATCAAGGTATATCTTCACGTTTCGATTATTAATCTGTTGGCGAAGGTTTCTAATCATGAACAATGTCAAAAACTAAAAATTATTTCAATGAGAAGCTTCGAGGATTTACTAGGGTTTGGTGAGGCATCACAATCATGAAATATATTCAATTGTTGACCACTATACCATTTTCTATGCATTGAACCTAGAGAAGTTTCAGCTGATTGGATCATTGGAAGATTTCAAGAAATTTCAAAGGAAACAATGATCAGAAGTGATAGGTTGAAGTTTAAAGGAATACTTATAATGCCATCAACAATGGACCATATAGTTAGTTTGTGGTATGTTTCAATCATGAACCATAGAGATGGCAAAAGAAAAGTTTCAAGGTCTTATAATAGAGATGGCAAAAGAAAAGTTTCAAGGTCTTATGCTGTTATAATTGGTTAATTCATATTGGAGGAATATTATAAGCATTTTCAAAGGTCTCAGCTCTCAATATTCTACAATCTCATTTTAAACTCCTGGTATTTGAAGCTCAATGTTCTAATAATATGATTTAGTAGGCATGGGGAAGGTTAAAGATCCAGTACTTTCAAATAGACGTAGAAAGTATGTTAAACTATTGTGATATTTTAAGTTGGAATATTCCCATGTTTTCATAGTTAGTTTGTTGAAACTGAAAATAAAACAGAATTATATGCTACCTGGATGGACTCATGATTTTCACTTATTTCTTTCGTGGTCATGGGAGTTCAAGATGAGTTCTCTAACTTAACGTCATTACTATATCTGAGTGGTACGTTTCTTACCAATGGGATTTGCGTAACAATAAATGAGAGAAAAATTCTAAGCAATAATTAATAAATTGACCTACCTGGATCATAATAATAGGGCCCCCATTGCAATAAAGAAGAGGAGATATCTTAGGAAGTAGAATATCCCACCATGCTTCAACCTGTGACAAATACAAAAGTCCAGCCTATCACAAGCTTTCTAACATGGAAAAGAAAAAAACCTAGATCAGCATCACAGGAGAAGGTATCAGGCATGATACACTTCAGAAACCAAGAGTATTTACATTATTCAAACATAAATGTATTGTTTATAATTGTAATTGTTTTAAAAGGCCTCAAGGCGTGACGCTTACGTCTTGAGGCAAGGCTCTCAGATTTTGCCTCAAGGCTTAAGCCTCATAACTTTTGCTTGAAGCTTAAGCCTTTGTCAGAAAGAGGCGCAAGCCTCAAACCTCAAGGTGTGAGGCATAAGCCTCAAAAACCTACAATAATTGAGTGATTCAATACAAAAAAATATGTTTTTTTTGTAAGTTTAAAACATATTGGAAGGTCACTCTGGTAATTATGGACAAATAAAAAGATTAGAATGAAAAGTTAATAGAGAACATAGAGTTCCTAGTGTCTCTTAGGGTTTTAGAAGAGTTCAATGCAATGAGGGCCAAAAGGAACCTTTATCATTCTTGGTCAAATCAAATGGGATTTTTTTTCTTATAATTCTACACTTTGGTGAATAGAAATCTAAAATCCTAAGTTTGTCATTTTTTCTATTTTCTCTATAAGAAAAATATTATCTACCCAATTTTTGCATCTCAATTCTCTTCCTAATGGATTTGTTTTCTTTTTATTGTTTTTTCCATAGACTAAACCAACTAAATTATTTACTTTCTTATAAAATGTTAGGTAACCAGAATTCTAGATCTATTGGGTATTGGAGAAATTTTCAGGAAAGGAAGTGAAGTTGTTCATGTGTACTTAATCCCAATTGGGTAGGGAGAGTCCATCAGAGCTTAACTATTTGCTTTATTGCAAAGAATTAGATTAGCAAAGTTTCATGGATTTGAGAGGTTGGGAATTGAAGGAAACTTGCAAGTTGCAGTGGAATGGATAACTGGACAAAATTAAGGCTCTTGAAGATATTGGAAAAAACTAAAGGGAGGCCAGAACATTAGAAACCATGGAAGACTCATTCTGATGGTTTAGAAGATTAGATAATGTCCTCATGGATCTGTCAGCTATAAATGGGATCAAAAGGGATATGATGTATCTGGATTCTACTTTCTCAAATACATCCTTTGGTAAACTTCTCACTTCCTCAGTCCAAGGTTTTTTCTGTTTTATTTCCCGCTATACATCCTCAGTATAATTTTACATTACTACAAGAATAAAAGTCATTATGTTATTAATCAAAAATAAAATAAAATAAAACAGAACTCTGAACCAAGTGAATCCCAATACTCTCAATCATTTATTTTCTGACTTACCATCTGATTTATGTCTTCCTATTATTGTTTGTAAGGAAAAGCATAGTTATACTAAGCATCCTATTTCCTATTTCCTATTTCATCATTTATAATTCTTTGTCTTCATCATTTTGTACATCTGCTTCTCTATCTGGTGTCTCTATTATTTCTAGTGTTGCAAAATCTGAGAGTCATCCAAAATGGAAAGAAGCAATGATCTAAGATATGAGAACCCATGTCAATAATGGTAATCAAAAAGTGATTGACCACCCTGTAGGAAAGGAACCAACACAATGCATGTAGGCCTTTACAATTATGCAGGAGGATAATGGCATAGTTAACTAGTACAAAGACAAGTCAGTGGCAAAAGAATTTACTCAAACCTATAGGATTGAACTATGAAGAAACTTTTGCCCCTGCTGCTAAGATGAACACCATTGAAGTTGTGTTGTCTCTCATTATTAATGACTCTTGGTCTCTCCATCAACTAGATGTAAGATAACATTTTATTACATGATGAGTTGAAGGAAAAGGTATAAACGGTGGCACCTCCAGGTTTTGGGTTCCTAGGTTAGGAGGGGAAGTTTACAAACTTAGAAATGTAATCTAAGGGCTCAAACAATCACCTAGGGCCCAGTCTAAATGATTTGTTCAGTCAACTCAGATGTTAGGGTTCATTTATCCTTATTTCATATTTCGATAATGGTAGTTGCTAACTTGCTATAGATAAACGTTTAAACTTTAGATAAGATACAAGATCTAAAAAATTTCTAGCCATAGAATTTGAGAAAAAGGACCTGTAGAGGAGATGGGCCGAATGGCCCATAGACTGTCATTTCATGTTATGTTATGTTATGTTTCTCTTTGTTATGAGCCTTATTCTGGGCCCATACTCTGTAATGTTCTGTTTTTTGTATTTTTCTGCCCACTCAAGGGCCTCTCTGTAATTTATCAAAGATTAACACCTTAATAAAATGTTTAGAGTGTTAGAGTGAGGTTAAGTTCGAAACTCACTCTCTAACACTCATTGCCGCCAGCTCTCTCTCTTCTCTTCCTCTCTTGTTTGTTTAGTTTCTGTTTTGCATCTAATCTCAAATAGTTCCATACATCAAGTGAACTGTTTTTCAACCGGACCTAAACTCCCTAAAATACTTCTTTAGCATAAAATTGCTAAGCATAAGAAAGAAATTTCCATATCCTAATGGAAGTATACTCCAGATCTTCTTAAGGAGACAAGAAAATTTGGTCCTAAACCAATTGAGACAACTATTTAGTCAAACATGAAGCTGGATTGTTAGCTTAGTGAATTAGATCAGGATGTCACCTTGTTCTAATGACTTGTTGGTAAGATGATCTACTTGTCACTTGCCTAACTAAATATTTTTCATGCAATAGGTATTGTGAATCAGTATGTATTCTCCTCAATCTACTACTCTAATCATGGCAATCTAATCCTATTTTACCTTATGGGTACTTCAAGAAAAGGTTTATTCCATAAGAATAGTCATATGAGAGTAGAAGCTTATACAGATATTGACTAGGAGGTTCAGTTGCAAATTAGTGATCCTCATCTGGATATTGTACATCTATTGATGGCAATATTGTCATTTGGAAAAGTTAAAAATGCAGTAGTTTCTAGATCAAGGAGCTCGGTTGCTCAGTAGAGGGTCCAGTGAGTCTAACAAGGCCATCACCTAATGTTGGTCCCAGCTACCTAGGCTCTTGGGAGGGGCGGACTGGATACAAACCTAACCTTTGGCTTATTTATTTATTTATTTATTCATTCATTTATTTATTTTGTACAATGTGGCTTCTCTCATAAGAGGGTCCAATGAGTATATTGAGATAACAAAGTTTCTATCAACATTACTCACGACCTAGTGCAACATGATTGAACCAATACTGAAGTACATAGATGTTCTATTAGAGGATAAGTTGCTTCCAATGATATTTGCCTTGTTTTTGTGTATAAAAGGATCAGTTGCAGAAGTGTTAACCAAATCTGTTGGGAAGTCTCAGTTATCTAATGTTCTTGGCAAACTAGCCATGTTTGATATCTTTGAAGAAGATCTTGATCAAGCTGTGTAAAAGTGTAAAACAATCAAGGACAAGCCATACCAATTAAGGTATTGTCTTCAAGATAGTAAATTCCCCCACAATTAGAAAGATCCTTTTCTTTTATCAGTAAAGCTCTTCTAAAAATTGCAGGTATCTCAAGAAATTTCTACCCCTAGGATACAATGCCCACACACTAGTTTCATGCAACCAAAGGATGCTGAAAGCTGAACCACTGTAGTCGAAGTAGCAGAAAAGAGGAGAAGAAGAAGAGATGCTGGAATGTCGAACTGTACTTGCAGTCGGCCATGCCTTTATTTATATACAAGTGAAGTACAAAGTACAAGAAATTATTGGGATACCCCTGATTAGTGATGGGACACCCAGAAGACTTAAGACATAAACAAGATTAGGCCCATTAGCAAAGGCCCAGTTACAAGATAAGTTTAACATAAGAATGGGCTAATAGGAATTCTTATCAGTCGAACACACTCAAGCCTTCTAACAT